AGATCACCAGCTCTGTCCTCAGACGCATCCTCTGAGTGAACAACAACCTCCAAAATGTTCAGGGAACAATCGAGCATGTTAACCCTTCACACCCCACCTTAGGGACCAGACTAGTTGGGTTTGGATTCGGAGGTAGCAATTGTGTTTGTCAAATTGTAGAAAGTAAGAAACTAAAAAAAATAATTTAAAAAAATCTTTCACCCCTAGATTTAAAAAGTCAAATATTAATCACTGCTCTGGTATGGTTGATCCATGTCTGCTCTGCGAGCTGGTCATTTACTGGACAAAATCTGAAGGACTCAGGAAGGAGTGGATCACGTCCCACAGCCCATGTTTGTCTTTGCCATATAGCAGTTAGCCAACTGGACACCCGCTTTCCTGAAGGGCAGATTGAAGACTGGTCAGAAAGTGGGATATAAAGTAGAAGTGCTGAAGGTGAGAGATGATCTGATCCGAGGGTCACTGAGCTATTTAAGTTATACTTTCTTATTCAGGCTGAGGGGAGAGACCAAACAAAGTCTCAGCAGATAATGCCAACAACTATTTCAATTGGACAAACCCATCTCCTTAATCTTTAAAGAATCAAGTCAAGTGCGGGTGGTAAACAAACCCAAAACTTACAGCTCTCAAATAATAATGAAGTGCTAGTTGTAACATAAACATAACTTGGGCAGGGCAACAAATACAAAACATGCTGACATATGTAATAAGTTACTGTTTATACTTTTCAATAACACATTTTATATAGATACCATCTCCATAAGCCTTAGGTAAAATGTGTTCCTCTCACTACAAATAAATTCAAACCTGTTGGAACAGCGTTGATTCCAACACGGTGACCTTCAGGAGTGTTATATCACACTTTGCTCCACAGGGCATTTCATAGCTGGATTTTCCAAAGTCGATCGATCGCCAGGCTTTTATTATTTCTGCCTCTGTATGGAGGTGAACTGCCAGCCTTTTGGTTAGCAGCCGAGCCATTAGCTGTTTGCACCATCCAGAGATGCCATACCCTGCCTACAAATCTAACAAAGAGCTGAAAGAAGTGTCAATTCTGATATTCAGGGGGCAAATGCCGAAAACTAGTGTTTAAAACTGTATCAGATCTTGGAGTCAATGTCTAGTTGTTGTCTTCTAATGGGAAAAATGATTTTTATAAAAAATTGACCCTATGTATTCTATATGAAGAAAGAAACCCTAACTTTTCACTTGTTGGTAGTTCAAATAGAGTGGCAACAAATACAAAAGCCATGCACATCTTGCAGCCATGTGGAACTTTTGTTGGACCAAGTGTTGGCAGAGGCTCAGAGATCTTTTTGTTATGACAGAAAGTGAGATTGCTGTGGTCTTTAAGTTGGTTCAGCCACATACTCATACTCTCTCCAACTAGTATGTCTGGAAGTTAATAACTATTTTTTGAAAATAGGTATTTAAAAAAAGCTAAATGAAGCCAAATTTCACATGTCATTGCTTTTGTTCTGAAAAAGTAGAAAAAACATCGAAGCTCATAGTGGCATTGAAGACAACATGGCATAGGTGTTCCCTTAAAGAAACACGTACAATGACATTCAGATTCTTCCTGTGACTTTTAATGAGTGAAAGCTGAATTTAGGCTACCTGTTTGTCAACAAGATGTATATAAATGAACATTTTCATATGAAGTTCCATATAAGAAGTTATACTTCTTATAATATTTGTTAATATGGGAAGTCAAGAAAAATCAAGAAATTTATTTTCATAAGATGATTTGCACTTTCAATCTACCTTTGCAATGGTTCTCTGAGTGGCACAAGTGCTCAAGTACTAACTGAAAATTGGCAGTTAGAACCATCCAGCAGTGCCTCCTACCACCGGCCTGGTCCTCTGCTCTCACGAAGTCCCAGCCTCGACAATTCCCAGGAGAGCTCTCCTGTACCCCAGGGGTCTCCTTCAGTCAGAACAGACCATCCCCATGGATAACTGCCTCCTTCCTTCATAGATTTCATGAGTTGTAACGGCTCTGAATGCTTCTTCTTGGCCTTCGTGAAAATACATGTCGCCATTGAATGAGTCCAATTCCTATCACAGAATTCTGAATGTCAGTGTAAATCTTTTTCCAGCTCAGAACTATAAACGTTTTCGTTAAACATTGAGATCTGTTTGGTCCAGAGTCCTAACCTTGTACTTTTCAAACGAATCCGCTTGGCAGGTGTCCCTCTAGTGCACCTAAGCGCACATGTCCT